ATGTTCACGTCGTGATACCGGGTTGATCTAATGTAGGATTTGTGGAGTTATGTAGAGCTAATTTGCGCCTTTGTATGTGTTCCAGATATGCAAATACTACGGAACGCGTCGTGTCCCGCGCTCTCTCTGGGTGAACAATAGAACATCGGCCTGGTGGGAGAAGGTGGTGCCAACGTACACCGATGTGCAGTGGATCCAAGATTTCCGAATGTCCAAGCACTCTTTCCAATACCTCTGTAGTCGCCTGGAAGCAACGTTGGGGAGAAGCGACACCAACTTCCGGGAGTGTGTCCCTGTGCCTAAAAAAATCGCCATAGCACTGTGGAAACTTGCGACCAACTCTGAGTACAGGACCATCTCTCATTTATTTGGAGTCAGCAGATCTACGGTGTGTTACTGTGTGCACAAGTTCTGCTCCTCTGTTGTGAGCCTACTCCTTCCTGAGTTCATAACATGGCCGAACGCTGAGAAGTTAGAGGAGATGGCGTTATTTTTTGAGCGCAGATGGGGTGTGCCACAGTGTGTAGGTGTAGTAGATGGATCACACATCCCCATTCTGAGACCAGAGGAATACCACAACGAGTATGTAAACCGCAAAGGCTGGCACTCGCTCGTCCTGCAGGGTGTTGTGGATGGTAAGGGCCTCTTTTGGAATGTTTTTGTTGGCTTACCAGGTAGCATGCATGATAGCAGAGTGTTAGGCATGTCATCACTGTGTAGTTTTGTGGAAAAGGGTGGTCTACTTCCTCATGTAACAAGAAATATTGGTGGACATGATGTGGGTTACTATATCCTTGGTGACTCAGCCTACACCGGGCAAAGATGGCTGATGAAACCTTTCCAAGGAAGGCTCACACCCGAGCAACTTGTGTACAATCACAAAACAAGCCGAGCATGAGTGGTGGTGGAGAACGCTTTTGGCAGACTGAAGGGCAGATGGCGGTGCTTGATGAAAAGAAACGACTGCACGATGGACAAGATCAAAATCCAGGTGGCAGCATGTTGCATATTACATAACCTTTGTGAGAGTAATGATGAGTACAGGGAGGAATGGACTGCCTTACCGGCGACCCAGCTTGATGGGCCAGCGCCAGCCATTGCCGAGGCTGGGGGGCAAGACGCACGCACAGCCCTTATGAGGCATCTGAACAGCGTGTAAGTTGTACATTGTAAACATTTTCACAATAAAGCTGATCTTTTGTACAGTGCTTTTGGTTCTCTTTTATTTACCACAGTCAAGACAGGCAACATTACAATAGTGTACAGTGTGGCAATATAATAACAATAAACTGTGCCAGGTGTGTTGTATGCACAGTAAATAGGCTCAGCAGCAAACACACCTTTATTATATATATCTTCCTGAGACCCACTGCATCCGTCTGCCATAAACACTATGGAAACCTACATGTTAGTTTTGGCCCATAGTGGACTAAAATGGGGGGGGAATTAAAAGTTAGCAAATCCCCATGTCCTCCTCAGAGGACATTCATAAAAACATTTAGTTTTAGGTCAAATAATATTTAAAATTATATAAATTATCATATTTGTGTATGTGCCCCTGCCATTCCCCCACAAGGTTGCAAGATTGTTGATAAATAAAGGACAAATAAAGCTTCGCCAGTTTATAACCGATGAAACATGATGGTATCAGAATAATCACTTGCATGTGATGTCTAGGATGCTACACAGGTCACTAAAGATAAAGTGTCAGAGGAGAAATAAGCAAGATACAGGATCTGTTTAATCGCCATGTAGGTTCTCTTTATTGCACACTCAAGACATAACAGTAGTAAATAGAAGTTCACATTTTTTATTTAAATAAAATAGAAGTTGTACATGTAAGTTAACATTTTCAATATCAAATAAAGTGTCAGTTGTATCAAGACTATATAATAACAGTAATAACAATAATATAAAATGAACTGTCCCAGGTGTTAGGCTCAGCAGCAGACATTGTTAACAGTGGCAACTATAGGGAGGAAGACCTGTTGGCTTTCACTAGCTGTGCCCGGCCTGTTTACACTGATACTCACATTAACACCTACAAAAAATGTAGAAACCATCCCTATTGCCACTGTTTACTCTCTGCAGCCCCATTTCATTAAAGTTTTATCTGATCTCTGATCTGATCAAGGTGATTTGGCTTATGCATTATACAGAAGTGTGCCTCTCACAGGTCACCCAGTGATCCAGCTTCAGGCGATATAGCAAGGCCAGTCAGTTTTGCAGGCCAGCATGAGGTCTGCTGCAGAGTGCTGGAGCCACTCGTGCTCTGATGATGCGGACATGGCTCACCGGGGGACTGATCCATGAGCCAAGCCCCTCACTGCCCCTAGTGAGACACCCGGGGGCCAGGCCGAGGCAGCTCTGTGAATCACAGAACGGTGAAATGAAAAGAACGTATTTAATGCTGTAGTCCAGATACAGCTTTCATACCTTATTATTAGTTTACATGTTACTTGTCATGCTGTTGTCTCCCTGAATTCTTTAATGAGCATGCAACAAAATGCATCGCGGGGTGCCCTTTGACCAAGCAGCCCATTACTGGCTTCATACAGATCCATGCTGTTATTGTTCCTCAGCTTGGAGTTACTGCTAGATAGATTAGTAGACCAGAATATAACCACTGGAAACAATGTTAACCTTTATGAATAGTTGTGTGTAGAGGTGTGCAGCTGCAATTGTAACATACACCACACAATCAGATGTAATTATAAAACAGCTTCGGAGCCTGTAGATATTGCCATTCCAATAAACAAAACTATATTGACCAGACATTTTTTCTACTTCTTTCTTATGCTCAGCCTTCAATTTGTCGCAGTTGTGCAATTACCTTCTTTGTATTTTGAAAATCATTATGTGTGTACAACGTTGACCCCCTACTATACAGTAGGAAACCGAAGAATTCAAGGTGTATCCGAGCAACTCGAGCCTATACCTTTACTTTTAATATGAAGGAACATTGTGAATGCAACAATACTTGGCTATTACGGTACTTACAATTCACAGTTGTTAGCCACTATTTACACCAAGGCCACAGAGAGGAACACCCTGTTGACTGACAGACGTTTTTCATTTGAAGCATTTTACGAAAGGTCTGACTTGCTGCCAGTATTACAGATTGAAATGAACGTGTTCCTCTGTTAACGGTTTTGAGGCTAGAAGAACGTATAAACAATTTTTCAAAAAGTAAAATAAATTGCCACAATTTATTTGTTGGTTTTACCTCAAATCAAGTTAATGGAATTGAAACACTGCCACATTTTACCGTCTAATGAAAGCAAGGATGATAGTTTATAATACCAACCCTTTAATTGCATACAAGAAAAACATAAAGGTTGTTGATTTTTAGTTTTAACAGATTTACAGAGATCATCCAGTCCGTTCACAGAAGTGAAATGTTTTTTTCTCAATATCACCTGTAGTGAAATGTTGAAAAAAACACATTTTTTAGGCAGAAATATAGATACAGACAAATGGCAATCAGGGTTGACTGCTTTGCAAAGAAAAACTATAAAGTAAGAAGATGAATTATGTTATTGCTTTTTCTTACATTAACACATTTTGTATCAGTACATTTGATAGAGATTTGTGTACATTTATTGGCTGAATGCAATAGGTTTAAGGAATTGACTGTTACTGTAAGATATCCTATTGGTTATTTTGACTGATTTATTTGGCTTATGCTCAGATCTAAGAATTACATGTGAGTCAGGGTATTCCCCATGCCACAAGAAAACAAATCTTATAAAGCATAAAAAATGCCTAGTGGCAAGTCTGATTATTTAATGTTGTTGTTATTGTATAATTATTTGAACCATTGCCTCTGTTTGCTCTGATGAAGGCATACACACTGAGCTTTAATTGATCATTACGCTGTTGTGAAATATTGAAGGTCAAGGGTCAAGGTACTACTTCTCTTTACACACTTTGTTTATGCCATTATTTAACACTGCTATTGTAAACATGTCATTTGGCAAAGCTATTAAAGGAAGAAATATCAAACCTGCAAAATACCACCTGAAATGCTTATAAATACTTAACATGTAGGACATTAATAGGCTGTGTGGAACTTGGAGAATGCGTTAATGAGAACATTAAGGTCAAGTGTATTAATGATACTCCCATACCTTATTAATGTTTAAATAAAAAGTATTAACACACCACAATTGATCATAATGAGGTGGTTTTGTCTTACCATTGTCCTTCCCCACAGCTTCAATGTTCTTTCCTGTCTCTTCACCTCTGTGCCTGACACACACCTGGAGGAATGTAGGCAACACACACACACACACACACACACACACACACACACACACACACACACACACACACACACAGCAAGTATGAACATCACATTCCCGAAACTGTTGGTGCTTACTGTACACTTTCACATTGTGTGCCACTATTAAAACAGAGCTAGAGTAGAGAAATATATGATAATTCAGTGAATTTGAAGTTGCAATGCTGGGAACACATAGGCCTACTATAGCACCATCAACAATCTCTTAAGATGCTCCTTGATTATGAATGGGAGTATAATGTTACAGTATTTTAGCCAATGGGTATTATCAAACACTATGCAGGAAATGCACTTCATTTGTAGCGGTTTTCTGGCAAAAACATTTCTATAAAAATATGCTTCATTATGATGTGTGTCACTGAAAGGTTTCTCAGTGCCGAGATACAGCAGAAAGAACACGAAGAACAAGTTTGGGTGGGCTCTCCTCCTTGGGTTCGCTTCATTGAATGCAACGGGTAGTCCGGTTTAACAGTCGTTGAAGACAAGAAGAAAATAAAAGGCTGGCTTCTCACGTAATTTGATTGAAAACGATAATGTAAGTAAAGAGACACATATTGAATGATAGCAGTCTTCATAACTGTGTTTTTCACACCGTTCCGCCCACCAGTCGTATTTCGGGACACTCAGGTTTGCGTAAACAAACGCACCCCACTGCGCATCACGGATATGACGTCAGCGCGCTGCAATTCAAACTTCAGGAAACGAAAACGTTTGGTTAGAAAACGGTCTTGTTGTTACTGACTAGTTTCACTGGATATCTTCACTTCGCTTCATATGTAAGTGTATTTTCTCATGTATTACTCACCGCCAGTAATGTTGGCTTTAATGTGTTTGTTATAAAATACACAGCGTGAAATTATAACGATGTAACGATAGTTTATTAAAAGCTTTCAACTAAAGACAGGTGCGAGGATGTGTGTTACGTTCAGGAACTGTCAGTTTCACTGTCAGTTTCACTGTCGAGTAATCTGTGTTATTGATGTTTAATTTAAATATACATTAATGTCCATAAAAGGGGATACATTTTGGTGAAATGTGCTTGTAAATGAATGTAAAAACAAACGTCTATTTACTTGAAAGACTCCAACTATGATTTAGTGACAAATATGTTTATTTTTCTCCCAATGTACACTACTGATCTGCATACTTTAATATTATTGATAAAGTTTAGTATACAATCTGTCAGTTAATTTGGGATATTTCACAAGGGTGTTTCCATTCAGTTGTATTATTTGTTATCCAAATGATTTCAGGCAATATAATACACATCCGGTGCATTTTACTTACTGTAAAATGTGTTTTTGTATTTTTTTTTTTTTAGAAGTCCAGGTAACTTCCTTACCACCTAACAAAGAAGCCATGTCTAAAGGAGCCAAAGAGACCATCGTCACCAGGTTGGGCTTCAAATCCAGCAGCTCTGCTTCCAAGGCTGAGGCAGAGCTGGAGAAAGTCAGGAAGGAGAACGCTCACCTCAGGAAAAAGATTGATGAACTGGCCAAACGACACATCAAACCCCCTGACTCAGACAAAAGCAAGCTGCTGGAGGTAAATAAATGTTTATTTGTAAGGTGTATTGAGGGATTTAACTTCAGGATTCTCTTCATGTCTGTCTATCTGTTTCCCTTGTTTTGTATTTTAATGTTTACATATTTCCTTCATGTCATTCCAGAGGATCCTGTCCCTTGAGACGCTGCGAGAGAGAAACAATCAGCAGTTGCTTGTTAAAGAGCAGGATCTAGAAACAATGAGACGGCAGCTGTCAGCTAAAGGAGGAGAAGTATGTACACATGACTCATCTTCTGCACAAATGTAGGGTTACAAAAATCCAATTTATCAGTACAGTATATCTATAAATGTCATCTGACAGCATGGTCAGATGACTACAGATGGACTCACAGAAAGACTGATTTGGAAATGCTGAGTAATTCTGCCAATGTTGAAGAGATATACCTAGAGCTGTGTCTCTGAGACTGCTCCCCAAGTTGTAAAGATGTGCTGCACTTTCGGCATTGTATTGCTGGCATATGTATTGCTGGCAGCTGACAACTGTCAGGAAAAACAAATATCATGCTCCCACTGAGCTGCCATAAAACACAGTTGGGGGGGAAATAGCTTCAATCCCATATCTGACAGCAGCTCAGCTAAGCGACGTTTAGACAGCCAGCAAAAGATGCATACTAACATATGCTGTTCACTTGATATTTATAAACCAGCTTTCTCCCACTGTTATGCCTCTGTGTTCATGACGCAGCTGGATACATTGATGCTGTTTAGTTGAGGTTGTTGTTGCTAATCATTGTGAAATCTCTTTCTGTTGTTGAATACATTATTTATTAATTTAGGCTACCTGCGAGGCGATTCAGGCTAAAACTTGGAAATTGCATGCTGGTAAATGGATTATGAGCTACTGTTTATACCACATCTTTTTGAATGTTTTATTCAATTAAATCACATTTGCAACAAAAGTGCTAAAACCAGATCTGCTCAGTGGCCAATACCAACAGAGTGCCAGCCATGTAATGCCATTGGTGTGAAGCAGATCATTGATTTGATAAATGCAAATATCTACCTGCATAAACAAAGAAATAACAGGTTGATGTGTAGACTAGTCAAGGTGTTGTTTATTCACATTGTTGTGTATTTCAGGTTGTGGCATCCCTGCAGGCCCAGCTGGAGCAGCGGAGGAAGGAGGCCGATCAGAGAGACACGATGTTCCACAGTTTGTCACAGGAGACGGGGAACCTGAAAAACCAGCTGACCACTGTTTCTGCCCGCTGCCAGTCCCTGGAAACACAGGCGACGGTAGGTTGACCACCTAATTGACCCTATACCTGTCTAGATGTTCTCATTAGTTAGGAAAGTTGTCAGTGCCATTCAAGTTTGCCTCCTTTTCCACATAAGCAATTATCTTATTGGGGTAGTGAACCTTCCTAATCATAGAGTTGTATTTCAAATGTAGCTGTTTGGCTACTTTTTACTGGTACAGGTCATGAATAGAGTTAATGGGGTTATTAGGGTTGCTAATTAAAAAGTTCTTATTCAGTAACTTAAGTTATTGAAAATTACCCTATGGATTTATTAAAAAACAGTAAAAAAAGAATTGAAAAACGTACATTTGTACAACTCTGTCCTGTGCCTCCAATTCCAAAATAATCTTAACACCCCCCCCCCCTTTCTTATCTACAGCGTAAATGCAGCAGAGATATTGTTTTCAAATGACTCTTTTTCACATGACAATAAACATTTTAGTGATTAATTACCATTAGATCTAGCAAGTGTCAGAACAGAAATCGGTTTTCAAAGGAACAAATAAATATATAAGTTGATCATAATCGTTGTGGTATTTGTTCAGAATTCTGAATACACATCTATTTTGATCAGTAGCTAGTGCACCTTAGATTTGTGTAATTTTATTTTATTGTTATATAATTCTTCAGTGAATCTACTGCATCAGGGGTGGTTTATTTTGAAATGCAAATGCAGTTATATCCCCGTCCACTGGGTGGCACTGTGTGACCTTTCATTGTTTTCCTCAGCTGCTGTCTTTACCTTCTCTCCAGAGAATATCCGTAATGAAAGATAAAGCTCTGATAATAGAAGACCAAAAAGGAAATATTGTGAATATAAATACACATGTCAGTCCATGGTTTTTCTTCTCATCCATACCATACCTGTACAATAACACATTGTAGTGAAAGAGAAGGATTATTTAATATACCAGTGGTTGGCACTCCCACACAATTATAGGATTTCCTTCCATTTAAAAAGCAGCTGTGATTCCTCTCCAGCCCTTTGATGCTTTGAGCACAGCGGGCCTTCACTACACTCTCACAGAGCCATCCTCTATGTTCTACTTCGCTTCTTTACAGCAAAAGGAAGCTTAATCGCAATAATTCAGGAAGTCGGGTGGCTGAAGACTCGGGGATCACAGTCAAAACAACTTGGACTTTATTTAAAAAAAAATTAAGCTAAATATCATGATTTCTGACCCAGTTTTTCAAAGAGTGGTGCTTGTGCATAATGTCCCTATTTTAATTAAAACTCAAAATGCATTAAGAGCTCTTATTATTACCCTGTGCTCCACATCCTACGAAATCAGTTAAACCCTTCATGGTAAAAACCAACTGCTAAGCCCATTCATCATTCATATTTATTAATAATCAAAACCAACTAATATAGTTCCTGTTGTTACAGTATTGTTTAAAATGTGTCTAGAGCCAAAAGAGTGGGAGGATGTGAAGAAAGAAAGAAAAGAGGAGATTTTAACAAGAGAAATATGCAGTTCTTTTCCCTTCTTGCTTTTGTTTTTCCACCCAAAGGTCACCACAGTGCTGGAAAATACCGTCTTTGAATCTAAATGTTCTCACATGGTCCGTACTTTTAGTCTCAAGGTTGAAAAGTATTAAAAGGCAGCGTATTATGTATATAAATCAGTGTTTCCCACAGAATTTGATTCTATTTGTGGGGGCACCGCACCGCACCCCCCCTCCCCGGCAAGAAAATACATGCAAGTTCATGGCTACTGTAGACAACGTTCTTGTTGCTTTGTGTTGCGTTCTTAATGAGTGAGACACACCGGAGTTGAGGATCTGTGGGGTTTATTCTCCCAAAAATATAATTTACAATTCAGGCATTTAACAGACGCCTTATTCCAAAGCAACTTACAATGACCAATTACAGGGACATTCTCCCTGGAGTAACTGAGGGCGTGTTCCAGGCGGGATTTGAACTCGCAACCTTCCGATCATTAGCCCACCTCACTATCCATTAGACCACCAAATTGACGATATTTAATTGTGGCGGTCCGCCACAAATAAATCAATGTATGGGAAACACTGTAAATGGATGGGAATGCTTGTTACTTGTCAGTCCCTATAGATATGGGTGTCTTTCAGGTCCCAGTGCGAGTGGGTGTCCTTATCTCTGTCTTCTTAATAATGCTCCAGGATCTTTCTGACCCCTCGGCTTAGCTTCTTCAGCATTACTCAACATAATCTGACCGGCAGACCCTGACCCAAACCTTCCTCCTTCCTCCCTTCTCAGGTTTTACATAAGCTAATTGTATGCTTAGCCTATGAGACGAGGGATATGAGTTTGAAATCCATCTGGAAAAAGTTGACCAGCTCACGATGCTTGTCTGGAAGTATGAGGGCTCATAGAGATGATGCCTCCTGTTGTAAAGGGCTTGCTCCAGCTTAAATATTGACTGGGATCAGACATAAAGACCTCAGGGAAAGGTCACAGAATTATGAAATGACTGACAGCTTTCTAGGAACTGGCTTAACGTTGGTGCCCTGGGATATGAGGCCAAGGATTGCATAGATTGATCACTTGCTTAAATGCTTTGTTCAAAATAAAGACAATGAATAATTCAAACCAGCAAAGCCTAGGAGGGATTTTAAGCTTGTGGTAAACCTACCGTTTTTACTGTCTGTAATGATTTTGTTTGCACACAATACACATAAGTACATAGTACTTGTGGAATATTGGCGCAGAGGCCATCAGTGCTGTCTGTAATTTTACTTAAACTTAGATCCCTCTGAGAGCCACCTCCACAACAGCAACACGACCAGAATAACAAACGAAAAGGTTCCAGACAGCAGTGCATTGTATTCATTTCTTTTGTTGAAGCCACTACTGTGTTTTTCAGGCATAGGGTTTTATTTGATGGTTTTTCTCTCTACAGAATGGACAGGTGCCTCCTGCAGACTTGGCTTTGGTTCAAGATCAACTGAGAGACGTAAGTCTATTCGATGATTAACTAAGTTTGTTTGTATGTGACTTTTTTTCTCTATTTTAGTACGCACGTTCTTAATATTGGAAAATTGCCTTCGTACCAAAGCTTTATATCTGAAATATCGTATAATTCTGCAATATATTTTAAACATGTCTTTTCATTACACCCTGTTCATGGACAGTGAAATAATGCTTTAAAATTCATCATTAAATGTCTAGGAGCCATCATAATGTCTTTCAATACATGAAGACACTGAGCTATTGGATAGATTTGTTTCATATTCTGTTCTTGTACATATCATATTCTATTTACATGTATATAGACTTTTTACACTACTTTTTATTTTGTATTTTATTATATATGTTGCATTGTTGGAGGAGCTCAGGTCAGAATCATTTCATTGCCATTTATACACTGTAGCTTTGTGCATATGACAATAAAACCTTTTGAATCTTGAAATAAACATTTTGAATATTTTAGGCCACATACTTGATTAGAACCAACTCTCACTGTCATTTACACATTTATTACAGTGGTGGCTTTGAATTGGATCGGTCAAATCTTTAAATATACAGAACATTGTAAGAACGTTTCTTGGTTGTGCATTTCACCCCCAGGCTCTTGAGAAGAACCAGCAGTGGCTGGCGTACGACGCGCAGAGAGAAGGCTACGTCCAGTCGGTCCTCGCCCGCACGCTGGAGCTGGAGCAGCAGCTGGCCAAGCAGCAGCCAATCAGACAAGAGGCAGCATCAGATGGTGAGGAAGAAAGGGGGGATTTGAATTAGCTTTCTACCACATCCTCCATTTAGTCACTACAGATGTAATGTTAAAATAATGAATATGAACCTAACAAACACAAGCGCTTTGATGCATACGGTGCGGAAAATGAAAATGGGGATATGCAGTTTCAGATATTATTTTATAGGCCAACATTAAAGACTTCGGGCGGGGAACCCAGATGAAAAAAGATTAGATTGGTAATTACTGGAATAAAAAATATTAGCAACAACAGCAGCACTGATGACTGTTTTGATGAGGCAATTCAATTCTCAAACCTTCTGTAAATCTTTTACATAGACGATGCTTAATACCAAAGATCTTCTCAGATTAGTGGTTGTTTACTCGCACTTCTTGTCTCTACTCCTGGCAATTTAGCAGTTCCAGAGAAGGACGCTGAGCTGAAGCGGCACTATGAGCAGCAGCTTTTGGGGGTGCAGAACAACCTGGAGAGGCAAAAAGATCAGGCTACCAGAGGCCAGGAGGAGCTCAGTGTGCAGAGGGAACAGGTAAATACTACAAAATGTCATATACTGTATTGCTTATTTTGTTATATTCCTATTAACAGGATTCCATTTCCTGTCTAATTCTCATATACCACTTTTTTTGGCTTCTGCTGCTCACATTACTAAGACACCTCGCAGTCTCCTTTTGTACACATTTATTCACATTCCCTCTGTTAAAAAGTTTGGATTAGTACATCATCGGCATGCAACTTCACTAACCCAATTACATTTCTACAGTCCTTGGATTCAGGCATCTTTATAATTAAGTTGTGGAACTCAACAGAAGTATAAACAGTTTTAAAAATGTGTTTTTCTGGGGGAAATGTGTATTTGCAGACGTTGAACGCTCAGGCGGAGCTGCGGTCTCATAAGGAGCAAGTCAGCCGGCTCCAGGAGGAGATGGCGGCGCTGCAGAGGAGGTACGAGGACAAGAGCAGCGAACTGTCGTCGTTTCTGAGGAGGTACGAAGAGAAGAGCAAAGAGTCGCAGGACGTAAAGATGCAGCTGCAGGCGGAGCGGCACGGAAGCAGGTCAGAAGTCTTCTTTTGTTGTAGAAATCTAATCGGCCACAGTTTATCTCCAAACGTGATATCTGGTGCGGAAAAACTTCATACAGTAGGCTCATGATAAGAAAAGGCCAAAAATCCAGGGTATTAACCTTTTTTTAAATACCTCTTCTTCAATTTGACCTTTTCTTAAATCCTCAGTTGGTCCACAACTCAAGCCAACAAAATATTGAAGTGTTTTCCTGACTTGTATGATAGGTTGACAAATACAGAGTGGATAAGCTGAAGAACACTTTCTTAATGTGCCGACAATAAAAGCAGTATATGGGTTTCAAACTAGAACAATTTGTCAAGGATTCAAGGCTTTTATTGTCATTTGTATATAGCTACAGTGTAGACATGTCAATGAAAATCTTAGGTCACAGGCTCCTCCAACAGTGCAACACACATTTTAAGTGCTATTTAAGTTATTCTTAATATTCATGTGGGATACATAAACACTGCACACAGACATGCAGTGAGCGAGGAGAGAAAGGTGTTGTCTGAGCGCTCGGACAGGATGAGGATGGAACTGGAGAGTATGGACATGAGACTGGAGGAGGAGAGGAAGAGATCTGCTGAACTTCTGCTGCAGGTAACCCTCAAAATCCAATGTTAATTTGAATGGAAAGGGATTTAAATGTTGTGTTTTACTCAAGTGTTTATTTGGCTTCCACAGGTGAATATGCTGCAGAAATCTCTACTGAGCCAAAATGAAGAACAGAGGAGAATCGCAGCGTTGGAGCAACAGGTACATGCTTTTAAGAAAAATAGCTAAAATCTGTATCAAATGGGTGAAAACCAGCAATTCCCAGTTGCACAAATTGAGTGTTCATTAGTAAATGAAAGTAGTAACTGTTGTGCGAGTGACTATCATCTGTTAAAGTAATGAAATCCATACTGATATCTCTTGGAATTCTTGGCTCCTCTTCACACATTTCTACCCCTCCTTAGATCCAGCTCTCTGCCAAGGACTCTGAGAATGAGAAGGTTGATCGTCAGAGCATGCAGCACCAGTTACACAAGGTGCTGAAGGAGCTCCGCAAGGCTCGCGATCAGATCACTAAACTGGAGACTGTTGTAAGTGTTACTAGACATCATGACCCCATGTATATTGTTTTGGCTTTTATAGGTTCATGTTAAAAAACCTAAAAGATAAAGCACAGATGTTGGGTGTACATATGCTTTTTTTCATAAACATTACAAAGCTTTTAAAGGTCAGATCTGCACTTCTGAAAGTTGAATATACATTTTTTTAGCTGACTTTCCAAATGCTGAATTATTATATTTTGTGTTTCAGAAACAGCCAAGCTCCCGTTTCTCGGAGCCCAGCTCCTACAACAATTTTGAGTTTGATCACCTGACCATCCACGACTCTGCCGGTCCTACGTCTCCGTCCAAAGTCTCCAACCTCCTGGATGAGAGTTTCCTGGAGTGCCCCAAGTGCCGGGCCTCCTATCCCACCAGCCGCCACAGGGAGCTCCTGGCGCACATAGACTACTGCCTTGCCTGAATGAATACATAGTCTAGATTGGTGATTGGTTCCTTCCCAAAAGAGGGGCAGCAGGAAAGCAAAGCTACCCTCACAACACAAGCTATTTATTTTTTTCTTTAGGCTTCTTTAATGTTGTCAGAAAGAAGAAGAAAAAAAATCACCATTTGGTTAACCTGGTAGTGTTGATATGCTGTCTGAGTCAGTGGAGGGCAAGAATACATTGCCTCCTTTTTATAATGTCATACACCACTGAAGCTCTAAACACATTACTCCTAGCAAAAAACGAAAAATATATGTAGGTTGTTTACATGGTTGCCAATCCATTATTTGTGTGAACTTCTAAAAGCAGATTAAATGGCTAAATTGTCTCATGCAAGATGATTAGATTGAAATACTGCTGCTGCTGTGAGAATGATGCAGCATGGATAGGTCAATTGGATGATTTGAATAAGCATGTTGACTCCAAGTGATATTCAAATGGTGATTTTATCTAAGTGGGTTAAGGTCCAATCAGCTAGTAAAACGGGGTTATTATGAATATACAAGTACGTTTTCAACAGTTTTTAAACATATTAATGGGAATTAAGGGACATTCTTAAAATGCAGATTACATAACCACCGTAAAACTATTTATAAGTGATTCATGTTAAGTGATAATGATAATTCAAAGAAATGTATTCCAGTGTTTTTTTGCCCTTAGAAAACCGTCAGGCCAAAGATTGATTTGATAATATTCCTTCCATATGTGTACGTCTGGGGTCTTCCTGCTTCGTTTCGTGAGCACAGTATTTTCCTTCATGGCAAGCTCTTATAGAATTGTATTTTTGTGTGCGTTTGATGTCATTATTTATTCTTGGGTTATTTTTAAGTGAGCTACTGTCTTTTAAGTGACTAAATGCAAATGTATTTCTGTACAATTTTCCGCATTCACGATTGCTTTCTTTAATCATGAATTATACCTTTTACTGTATTTTATGAACGTTTACAAACCTGACTATAGCAGTATCTTTCAAACCAGCTGTAAACATACCGCTGATACACTCCTAGTTTCAGTAATCAATACATTTGGTGTTACGTTTTTTCTCAGTATATTAAAGGTATTTGTGCATTGTTTGGAAGACAGAGAAATTACCCAGAAGCAGCCATTATCATTGTTCATTGTCAGTATTGAGATGAAGGACAAAATAAAAAGTATAGCAGTGTTTCTCTTTGCAGACAAGCTGATAAACATGACTGAGACATTCCTTCAACATGTGGTGTGGTGTGCCTCAGCTGAGCAGAGCATAAATATACTGTACAGGAGTTTAAATGGTCACATGGTGCCAGGTTGTCCTTCCATTCCTCCTCGTTAAAGTGAAGCTCATTTCCACCTTCACTTTTCAAGCCCGCAGCTCTGTAGGCTGGAATGAGATTGCATGAGATAATTCCTTGTACTCAACTATTTAAGGCAGGGGATTAGTAAAGGTCCTCTTGGTTGAGGGATGGGGTTAAGTTGCTTTTATTCCTGCCATCTTGGCAATGTGACTCGATGGACTTAAAACAGACGGACACTTCTATGCTGTCCTCTTTTAGATCACTGTTGTGTTTTTGCATGGCATGATTCGTCCAGCTTTTGCTGTTTGTTGTTTTTAAAAGTCCTCTGTTTTATTTTTATCATGTGCTCCAAAGTTGTTTTGCTGTGCACTGTACTGTATAAAAGTGTGCAATAAAGATTTAAATCTCCACTCAACACAACATTCCTTTGTGTACTTTTGGTTGAATCTGAGTTCTTTTGGCACTAATGGTGTTGTAAATAGTGAACTATTGCTCAATTTCTAAATTGTCTAAAACAAGAAGTACATTTTAAAACTGATGGGAAATCAGTGTGACAATGTACCCAAACGTTTATTTTAAGATAGTAAACCTTTCCTCGCTTTGTCTGTTTTTTGTGCCAGTTAAAAGTAGATCCTTTTCAAGTCAAGGCTGCGACAGGTTGATGAGTTGATGAGTCTCGTCTGTTGTTGTCCACTTAACTGAAACGTGCTGTACTGAAAGGATTAGGTATAAGTGTGTTCCGATTACCATCAAGCTAAAGAAACCCATTCTGATGTTTAGTTTATAATTAATGGTCAGCGTATTCTGCAAACTAACACGTTTTGAATGGAGAAAACATGTTTGAATATCTTTAATGCCTTGTTAGCAAAGACATACGACGATGCTAAAAGATCAGCTGTGAAAGAAACAACCTTCAGCAGTACTTTGAGCAAAACTGCTCATGAGCAGGTATAACGTTCACCATGTTCATCATTGAGTTCGAATGCTAACATTAGCTGCTTAAGGCATAAACAAGTCATATATTGGAGAAGAAAATCTGATTTGAACAAAATCATGGCAAATTAAATGTTAATTGATTACAATTCATCCTGAGGCAAGCATGAATGCCTGTACCGACTTTCTATTCAATGGTCATTGAGGCATTGCCTTTTGTTGTTCAAATATTCAGAGAACTATGAATGTCTGTCCAGCAGATGTTAACATATCTTTTTGGATATGTGAAAACTTAGAGGCAGAAGTCAGACAGTTTTAGGCAATTCAACAAACCTATGTCACAGAGATAGACATAATGTGATACTTATTATGTAATCCATTTGAATAGTCCAATAAAAACTTGTGTTAGGTGTTTATATTATAGGAAGCTGTTTGTGAAAGCAAATTTCACCCTATTGCTTTTATTTAATATTTGAACTCCCCTCACAAAATGAAGCATTTACTTGAATTTTGATGTATTTTTGATTGAATCCATAGCAAAACTGTTGGGGAAATATTTTCTAAGGCCCATAACTTTGACCCAGTTTATCAGTTCATACTGTCCTGACTGAGCACACGCATCTGTAGCCTTGGCTGCTGTGCTCTCAGTGTTTTGTCTCCCTGTTCCTGCCTGTTGGCGTCAGCTGATAGAGGTCTTTCATTCTATCTTGTTATGCACATTGTGGATTATTCTCTCTGAACTAGCTAAATACATGGGTCTGGGGTAGAGTTCTTCAGATTTGACGTGGCAACTCTACCGTGAAGTCAGAACCTCTGGCTCTTGGACTTGTTTTGTGAATTCTCCAGCCGAAGCTCCTAATAAACCATCAGTGTTTGACATCAAAGCTCCAGCTCTACCCCGTGTCTCCTTCCTGAGTCGGTGATTCCCACTGCATTGCTACACAGAAGTTTTCCCCCACAAAATAACATCAGTTCATCATTTGCAATCAATACAGAAAAATTGTTTAAGGCAATCAAATATTGCGTGAACCGACACATATTGAACGTTTTATTTCCCAAAACTGGATCAAGAGGTATACATTATACAATCAAGTTACAACCAAACTAATAGACCTTTAGAGCAGATGACTAAATGTGTAGGTATTTAGGTTTATTAACAATATTAGATGTTGTGCTACAAGATACTGTACGTACTTCAGTGTAAAAGCAAGCCAGTGACTTGTGAACCTGGTTTTGTGGTAGACATGGTGCTAATAGCTGCGTATTTGCAATAATGCAGATAATTCAGCTTCACTTTAGAACCTACTTATTCCTCACAATGGCCTGAAGAGCTCCAAAAGTAGATTTTTAGTGATCTGATATGTTCCATTTACTCACAGTAAGAAAATTCCATTGGTTTTTATTAAGAAGGCTGTTTAAGGCAACACGTGACAGATGTTGATGATAGGACTAAAATGTTAAAAGGCCCATAATCTTCTGTACTAATAGGGACATTTTGATAAAGTGACAACAAACCAGCATCCACAGTAATCCTTCCGTTCTGTTCACAATTAGGTCATGTGAGTGTATTTATAGTTTGCCATTTTAAACGAATAATGGGCTGCTTTCTCTGTTAGGAAAAACAAAGACAGCAGAGGAGGGACCATTTTGGTGGGAGTCAGTCCAAGACATCAGAGGGGATTGGGGGGAGGGGGGGTCACATCGTCCCAGACGTGTGTAAACAGATCAGCTGCTATTACAGAAGCCTGCAGTGGGAAGAAAACAACATTTAGCTTACAGAAAACTTTGAAATAAACCAAAAAAGGATCTAAAAATGCAAAACACACAGCATTTTAATGTCTTGAAAATATGATAAATCTTAACAGCTGTAATAGTATTGCTGAAAGTAAAGCATAAATACTGATTAAGAGGTTTCTGAATATGTGCATTTTATTTAAAAAAAAAAAAGTGAGCATCTCGGAGAACTGACCAGTGTGTGAAACGCGTCTGTATTTGCCCAGCAGGCAGAGGTCGGTCTTCTTCTGGACCACATTGCGCTGGTCCTCCGGCCTCAGACCGGTGGGATGGCGAGAGAAAATGAAGGAGTAAGCGTCCAGGCAGGTGCCGTCAGAATCCACCAGTCTGCACGAGTAGTGGATGGCGTAGTTGTCGTAGTCGGTGTCAATGACCCAGTGGTCATCGTCTGAGAAAGGAGAAAGGGTTGAGATTTTTTACATCATCATACTTTTACAATTTGTCAAACATTTATTCAACTTGCATGGTAAGTGTAAGGCCAAAATAAATTGATCGATTATCAATTTTTAATAGAGACACAAAAATGGCAGAACATGCTGTTTTCATTCTCTGCAGTATGGAGATTTCTCTGCTTTATATTGTGTTAAACTGAAAATAATTTAAAGATACCAGTTTGGACTTTGCAAAACCAGCTTCGACATTTTTCACTATTTTCTGACTTTAATAGACAAATTGATTAATCTAAAAAATAATCAGGAGAATCTTCCTTTCATGTTGACCTATAAAACACGAACAGAAGTAAACAAACATCTCTAGCTAACTCACACATTGCACAATCATCATTGATTTGTGTATGAAACTTCAGACTTTGTGCGTTTTGATTATCTCTCTTTCACATTGATCTGCCATTTTATACAAACAGTGCTCGGAGATAAACGTCCCATGACAGCATTATCAAGTCAACAGATGATGTAATTATATAGACACAGTATAGATGATATAGGGAACAGTTGATACAGAAACTCTAACTCTTTACTTAGTAACACTTTGAGTCCGCACTGGGGTCATTTTGAGATATAAAAGATTGCATGCCATTCATTTGCCTTCATGGAATGTTACACCTAATGACATTTGGGCCTCTTTCCAGTAAGCGCTTGTTTTGATTGATTCTCAAGGGTCACAGAATATCGAGTTTTGCAGTTGATGATTCCATTAAATCATCAGTTTTCTAAACCAGTGACGCTAACTGGCAACAAAAAAAAAGGCTCTGCTAATAAGGTGCCTTGAACTTCCCCCAACTTACTTCCAGTCTGCAGGTATGAGGCGGCTCCCCAGTACTTCATCCTGAACTTAGCGGGGTCAGGGGTTACCTCAAAGGTGGCCAACATGTCAGCACACATTTCCCAGTTGCTAGATGTCAAAAAGAGAGGAATATGTTACGAAATATGTGAGACAAAATGGAGCTTGTTAAGCCTTTATAGCAAAGAACAGAACTCACTTCAGGATGATCACTCTGCCCTTAGCAGTGGCAGTCATTGAGCCATCCTCAGCGATAATAAATTCGGCCACGATGTTGTCAATTAAGAACAAACCCTCTGGGTCCTTCTTTGCAACTGCGTACCATATCCCTGTATACTAAGAATAAGAAATCCAAGTGTTAGTCGGCTTCACTCTATGTTTTTCATTAAAGTAGAAGAGGCAAATTACCATATACAGTGTCATTAGTATTACACTCTCCTCACACACAATAACATTCCTGTGCATGTCTAATGAATAAAAGCTTTGAACAATACGACAACGTAAATGATCATTAAACATTTTACACTTTTAACTCACCCTTGTCTTGTCGAAGTTCTGCATGACCTGGACGCTGGAGACCTGGCAGTCCTGTGCCCAGGACACAGCCAGGAGGCAGAGGGCCACAGCGTAGTGCAGCATTCTGTCTCAGAAGAAGGAAAAAAGGCAGAAACCAAGGAAGAAGGGAAGTGGTCGGGGGGGGGAGAGTTTGAGAGAAAAGGCATAGCAGGGAGCAGAGACAGAAGAGTGAGCCACATTGCCAAGTCCTCCAGTAAAGTAGAGGGTAATACATTCCATTGTCTATGTGCTATAAACTATTTGTACATTTTTAAACAAAAAAAACCTTCAAAAAGAAATCAAAGTGCTTTTAAAAAAGTGAGAACAATTTGTTTCGCAAAAGCAACAACCATTGTCTTTCAATTTCCGGTTAAAATGTTCAAAGTCCATTGTTAGTGCCTACCTGTTAATCGAAGTGGAGAGCTGACAGAAATCTTCAGGTTTTCTGTCAAAGGCCTTATATATAGTTGGTTAGTGTTGCATAATGACTTCCCCCGCACTCCCCACAGCTAGCTTGCCTTCCATTGGATAAACATTTACATAACTTCAGGCCCAGTCCTATTGATTTGTGTGTTCTGCACATTTGGTCCGCCACCCCCTCTGTACCCCACCCCAAAACATTTTCATGAGGTTTTTTTCTTGGTCTTATGAAAGCAGCTGCGAGCAAATCCAAGAGAATAATCTGGAAAAAGACATACAATGCTGTAGAGACACACACTTTGATTCACTCTGATGAATACAAACACATCTGCATTCAATTGTAACTGTTTGCATGCATGGGCTTAAGCTACCTTTCTGTGAAAACAACTGGATTGCACTTAATGCATGTTTTTTCTCCAGTTTTTTTTTACCAGCGCATGTTTCCCGGCAGCATCCTTATGATTACATCAGCTCTTTACTTGATTATGCTATCAAAGGGATATTTAATGACTCCCACCACTGTGTTTGTATAAATGGTGAACAGAGGGCTCAAATCCATTTTAAAGAGTAAATAATCAATGCAAAAGACAGACAAGTCTGGAGCTTCAAACACCAGTCGATGATGAAGGGATAATGTGTGAGTTAGATACAAATGTATGTGCACAGACACTTGTGTACTTGTACGAGTCCAAGAGAGCTCAGTGTGCTGAAGCGAATGGCTCCCATAATGAAGCAATCTTTATTTCCCTTTTTTTCTTAAAACATTGTCTTCCCAAAACAAAGTCCAGTTGTTGACAGCTTTCTAACTTGTTGTATTACACTCAGTACATCATTCACACTCCAAGCAAGTTAAGAGAAGTATGGTAAAACGACTCGGTAATACACGGCTGTATTTCCTTTTATACACTGATGCTGTTGTTTTGCACTGAGCTCAAGTCCTCTGAGGGCTTGCTTGAACAAAAAAGAGCACAGCACAGCCAAACATCTGCAGATTGCATAACCAAAGCCCCAGCCAGTGGAAAACAACACAATAACTCATTTTCAGCAAAAAATAATACCAGCTGGAATTTGGCCAAAGGCAATATTTCATAATCATCAAGATTGGCCCAGAAACACTTTATGTTACAAAGCCAGGCCTGTGCAAGCATTTCACATTTTCACGAGTGGTAAATGTCGTAGTGGATGAAGTATCCAGATCTTTTACTTAAATAAAAAAAAGCCTAACGACTGTAGCAATACAAGTAACAAGCACTGGATGAATAAAAATGACTTCAGTTAAAGTTTTAAATGAAGAATGGCCCATTTTAGGACATAATTATATCATTTTATTATAATTATGGATGTTTTAATATGTAAGCATCACTAATAATGATGATGTCAGTAGTTAAGGACTACTGTATGTTATTTACTGCTGGGTAGCTTATTCAATAATAAAATCATGATTTATTTGTTTATTTATATTTTGTATTATTAATCTCAACATTAAAAGGTAGTAAAACTACCAATTTTAGTAGATTTAATAAATAAAGCAACCAAAAAATGTACAAAACTTTAAGTAAAGCACAAATAACTTTGATGCAATGTCATGCTTAAAGCAGGAGTCTGTTTTTTGTTTTTATAGGTTGTGAAACTCAAGCAACGCTAAATCCCAGATGTACCCCTATAAAATGTGGGACTGTGCAAACAACCTATTGCTCAATTAACTGCTTTTAAAGAGAGCAGTAGCTAAACAGGGAAGGGGTGTTTTTAGCTGAATTTGGAGTTTCTTGTCTGCAAACCTAATATAATTTACTATATAAACTGCAATTACTTAATTAAACAGTGTGGAGCCTGCAGCAATTATTTTGCATCACTTGGGGCATTTTTAGTTTTAGTTATGACTAAGGCTGTTTCTCTTACAAATTAAAACTTGAGTTTCTTTAATACAGCCTTACAGTATTTTGGTATGACCAGTAGCCCATGGTAGCTAATGTAAGATAATAAAAAAAAACGTAAGAAAAAAAAAATTGTTGTGTGATTGAAATTTCAGAGTCAGTTTGGTCCTGTTTCACTTGCTGTAAAACATCTTAAAGGTAGGGTAGGTAAGTTTGAAAAACCGGCTCGAGGTACACTTTTTGTTATATTCCATGGAATGCTCTTAACATCCCGATAGCAATGAATATCTTAAGTGCTTTGACAAAAAATCCATAACAAAATGTCATCTGTGGAAGCCGTAGTACTGTAAAAAGTACGACCAATCATTTTAGCCGGCCCGGCTAAAATAACTGGATGGCCTACCTGCCTGTCAGCCTTCCATCTGTGCACAAACATATCTAGTGCCCTCATTGGTCATGTGCACGTTCGTGTGTGTTGGAGGAGGGGCTCTATAAGGAAGTGGCAGATTTTCTCCGGTTGTGTTATTTCAAATTCTAGCGATCTCGAGCCGGTTTCTCAAACTTATCTACCCTACCTTTAACTGAATCTTGGGAAATTTACAGAAATGTAAATGCTGTCATTGTGTCGCAAGTGTTCTTTAAAAGTTACGAAATAGTCTAAATTAAGTAGTCACCTAAAAATACTAACAAAAAAAGACAACTGATACTATTGAGTTAGAAAACAAAATAGTGGAATTGGCGGTCAGAAATTATTCATTTTATTACATTATCATCTTGTTTGAGACTTGTGGAGAAAACACACAATGTATCAACAATGGATTTAATTATTTACAATCATAGAGCCTTGGAGGCTTTTCAGACTGCACAACCAGTACTAAGAAAATCTAGAAAAAATAGGCTGCAAGTCATTGTTTTGTATTCTTACTCAACAAAAACATACTCTTCTTTCCTCTCTCGCACACTATCACTAAACTAGTTTTCTCCCACTGTTACATGGCCTGCTCTAATTTATATCCTCCTTTACATCCACACACACACCTTTTGTAGTTCTGTCCCGATAAGCTCGCCTTAATCCCCACGGCAAAAAATAGTGGGTAACTCCTTGTCTTGCCAGCCTGTCAGCAGCTAACCAGACAGTGCACTTAGCTATTAATAGCCAGTGCTCTTTGTTTTGGGCCTTGTGCCCAGACGTCCGAGTCCCAGTAATTGGCTGATTTCCAGTTCTAGGACTGATACCTCCATAAGGATGATGATTTAATTAGAGAACACACATAGGCTGCTCACACATTGCCATTATAGCTCTGAACAACATTGCTGACACGATTTAGCTACTTCCTCCTCGATAAGCAACAAGAAGGAGAGAACAGTGGTAACATCTAAGGGTTGATATTGGACTTAACTACACTGAAAAACGTTGACTTGAAACTACTACTATTTTTTTATTTAAACTTCATATGATTGCGTTCAACTAACCTACATGTAAAACAGATATGGGACATTTGTTGACATAATACATTGAATTAAAGTCAACGTTTCAGTGTAAGGCAAGGAAACCTGAATGAATGTCTCCGGCCTGCTCAAGTGTTTAGTTTGGATTGGATTTTAGAGCAGGATCCTGGTGTACTATTTTTATTCAGTGAGGGGTTCTTTAGCAAGGCACAGCTCAGGTGAAGCATTTTGACATTAGGGTTGTTGGACAAAGCATCACTAAGGTGACACTAGTGAGTAGTTCCATGTGTGAGGATAAAAAGACTGGTTAAAGCCAAAGCAAATGCCTATTGTTGTCACAAGGTTACTTCTGAAAAGTTTTCTCTTGTCTGAAGACCCATGCCAGCAGTAAGTCTTTGGTATTTACTTGTCCATCCTCATGGTGTAGCCCTGGAATCCAACCTGGCATTTGACCTGACAGTAGTCTCACTCTCTCCTGTGTTGCCCAATATAAAATGATCAGCGTTGGGATTTGCGGGTTAAGGACGCTTAGAGCAGGGGTTTTAATCTCATGACGTCACATTCATTAGCGGCCACTTTGATCCTTTCAGCCTCTTAGCCACACTCTGTCCTATTCTGTCTGTCGGTGGACACGGGATGTGTTAGTGACTCCCTCGGGGACCGTGGAGGACAATGCTGCTGATCCACCCAACCCTGTAGGCCAACGAAAAGCTTCCCCTGTCCATTTTTCCGTATCCCTGCAGGTGATGCTTTTGTGAAAATAGGAAGGGAATACAACACTACTCAATTTCAAAATGGCAGACAAAGATAGCGTGGAGAAATACCTGGAGAACAACCCGCAGTTCGCCAAAGAATACTTTGACAAGAAGGTACGGGCTGAAGCTCTGTCCGCCGCCTTTTCGGCACCTGTTGATGTCAAAGACACCGCTTCCTTCAAGGATGTTAACTCTGTGCAAGAAGCCGCCATCATCTTTGAGTTGGTCCAGCAAATGCAGAGTCAGCTGCCCATGGAGGAGTCCATTCACAAAGTCTTACAAAGAATTGCACTGATCATACAGGCCGACAGGATCGGTTTTTATATTTGCCGGTCGAGAAACGGAATACCTGAGCTCGCCAGTTGCCTCTTTGACGTGACCCCAACCTCTAAATATGACGCAAACTTGGTCCATCCACAGGCTGAAATTGTTTTCCCTCTCGATATGGGTATCGTCGGTTTCACTGCACTCAGCAAAAAGCCACAAAATGTTCCTGACATCACAAAGGTGAGAATTCATTCATTTGCTATCTTATAATAGAAAAAAAGTGTCAAGGGTGAAAGATAACGAAGGTGGTGCGTGTGATTATTTTTTGTGTGAAACTGATGTTTTCTTATTACTGTGATATTATTGGCCTTAGAAATGTTTAATTGTATTAATTAGATTGTATTATATTATTATTTTTAAGTAATTTGCCTGAGTGTAGGCTTCACAAGTAATTTTTGTTAAAAAATATGTTTTAATGTGCACAGCAACAGATGTGTTCCATCATCAATAAGCTTGTTTTAATTCTCTGATAAAAGGAGAACATTTTTCATTGTGGTCTACCGGTATTGGTTCAAAGCCTTAAGTCTTCTGCTGCCAAGTGTAGCCAAAAATAGAATATTGATTCCTGAATAAACAACAAATTGGAGTTTATATTTTTGAAGTAACATCACCGTTAGAAACATTGAGTCTGAATATTTAAATCTGACAGATTCTTAATGAAGTCCTTTTTTTTTCCTCATACAGAACCCCAAATTCTCTGACTTTGTGGACAAACAGACCGGATACAAGACTAAATGCACACTTACTTTTCCTCTGATGGCTGAAAGAGAGTGCCTTGGAGTTGTCATGGCACTTAACAAAATAGGAGCGGACACATTCTCTCCAGAGGATGAGAAGGTAAGAATACACACCTAATCATGTCCATTGACTCTAATCCTTAGTGATTTACTGTGTGAGCTGAAACAGAGTGTTTTTCCCCCTCGTTTATTAATACATTGTAACTCTACTTTACAGGAATGTTATGTTCATACATTTCTAGGTATATACTTTAAAAACGTAGGCATATGGATTTAACTGGGAATATATTATCAGTCTATATCGAAGAACATTCACTACTGTGTCTCATAAACAGAGGCAATAAACTCAACCATTCCTTAAAGAAATGCATATGTTTTACTCTTGGGGCTGTAATGTTGATTCACAGGAACATAGATAGAAAATAACGACACGTGTTGGTCCTTGAATTGCTAAGATAGAGTTTATTATAATGTCTATATCCCTATGTTTTGGTTCATGATTCTCTTTACCAAAGTAAAGACGAGTAAATCACAAGTGTAATAGATTTTTTCAAGCCTCAAACACTTATTATATGTATTTTTGTTTAAATCCATGAACAAAACATGTAATCTTTGTACAAATGTACCAAATGGGGACTTTTACTCACGAGAATCACTTGTGTTTGGGTCATGGTTTACTGATCTGTGAAAGAGAAATCCCTCTTGATACATTTACTTCACTTGAATAATCACAGCTTTGCTAATGGAAAAGAAGTCAGATGAGACTTTTGAGCTTTTAAAGTTCCCATCTGTCATAGTCTGAAAGTCTGCTGTTGTGTATTGATGAAACCTCTAATCTAATTTGGTCCTTAGCTCTTCCACAAGTACATGAACTTTGCCCAAGTCATCTCCCTGCAGCATCACACAAACTACATGTTCAATGTGGAGTCCAGAAGGAGTCAGGTAAACTAAACCCTGAGTATTCTGTAATTCATCTGTATCTATTTATAACGGTGCCCAAACTATATGCCACAGCTACACATTTAATTACACCCGCATCCATTGTGGTGGTTTCCCTTGTAGGTGCTGCTCTGGTCGGCCAGTAAAGTCTTTGAGGAGTTGACAGACATTGAGAGACAGTTCCACAAAGCGCTCTACACTGTAAGGATCTATCTCGGATGTGAAAGATACTCAGTGGGCCTGTTGGACATGACCAAAGAGAAGGTTGGTCTTGCAGAATATTAACAATTTTACACTTAAGGTCAAATAGAAAACCATTTATTTTGACGGGCATCCATCATTTGTATTGTCTGTGTTTTCCCCCCTGTAGGAATTCTATGATGAATGGCCTGTGAAACTGGGGGATGTGGAACCCTATAAAGGACCAAAGACGCCAGACGGCAGGGTAACACACAACTTTCACCTCTTGTTAATTTCCTCATGTAGAATTTGAATTCCCACTTGCTTCAAATGTTCTATTGTCTAACACAGTTTAGATAAATCAATCATTTCTAACAGGCTTCTTATTCTTTTACAGGAAATTATCTTTTACAAGATTATTGACTACCTCCTGGAAGGCATCAAAGAAGAAATCAAAGTCATACCGTAAGCAGCAGAAGCTACAAATCCACTCAATCTAACACAATGCATTTCAAAATACAGCATGAAAAAAACTGGACAAGTTTGGAGTCTTGGAGTCCAAAAAATGTCATCTTTTAAAATAAAAGTCTTGACTTAGTTTTGAGTCTGATCTTAAACTCACATTTAAAGCATGTGCTAAGATGGTCCACCGACTATTCTTGGGGTTATTTGGGTATGGTTTTCGTAAAATGTGGGTCAAAACTGTTTATTTTGTATATCAGAACATAACTTTCTCACTCAACTCTCTGTGTTTCTCTGTCTTTTTCAGTGGTCCGCCTATAGACCACTGGGCTCTTGTTAGCGGCCTGCCAACCTACGTTGCAGAGAATGGCTTTGTAAGTCTCTCACTGTTGCCGCAGGGCAGTTCTGTACGAGAATCACTGGAATTAGAGAAGCATACAAAATAAAGGGCAGCTGGCTTGTAGAATATGAACAGACACGTATCCACATCCACACAAACAGAATAATGTAGAGAAATAAAAGGCGCAGGAATACAGGTTGTGTGATATGTCACTGAAAAGACCCTTATCAACAGTGATACTCACATGAAGTGACTAGGCAGGATTTGTGTCAGTGTAAACCAATGAATACACTTTTAATTTTAATTGATTGAATCCCAATTCACAGCTGGACATTGTACTTTTTTTTTAAAGTTGAACATATTGCAACAAACAATATACAATTGTAATATGTGATAAATGTAGGTTTTTTTGTGTTCCCTTGTGACAATTCAAAGTAAGAAAAGGTTGTTGCAAAGATGGATAGGAAATAGCAGCTTTGAATAATACTTGCAAAGCGCCGGATCTTAACGTTTTGAATGTGTCTTCGTGCAGATTTGCAACATGATGAACGTGGCTGCAGATGATTTCTTCACTTTCCAGGTGAGGACACTTTTACCCTCCATCCAAACACTGGTGGTGCCCTTGAGCAAGGCACCGGACAACCCCCCCACTCCCATTGCTCCCCGGGCGCTGTACAATAGCTGCCCACTGCTCCTGGTACTAGGATGGGTTAAATGCAGAGGTCACATTTCACTGTGTGTGCTGTGTGCTCTGCATGTGTGACCATTAAAGAGGGTTTCATCCCTCCGATTCTATCAAAACACACCGGTATAGGATTCCATATAATGTTAAATGTGCACTTTTTATGTCATACTGTTTAGATATCCGTGTTCAAGAAGAATTGAAACTTGCTTTAAACTTGATGCATGGTTTTAACATCGTTTTTTTCAATGTCTTGCAGAAAGAGGCTGTGGATGAATCAGGTTTTGTTATCAAAAACTGTCTGTCGCTGCCCATTGTCAACAAGAAGGAAGAAATTGTGGGCATCGCCACTTTCTTCAACAGGAAAGACGGCAAGCCATTTGATGAACACGATGAGCAGATCACTGAGGTCAGCCCCACACACTCTCTCTCGCTTTGTATTATCATTATTTCCTGTCATTTGGGATCTCATGTTGTTGTCTGTCAATGAACAAAATGTCCCTGAAAGCAGTAACTTCATAACACTCTGAGATATGTTGGGGTTTTCTGGAGTGTCCCAGGAGTGAAGAAAAAGTACAGATGTGTTTATTTGTTCTCATTCCTTCTCACTCTGGTTGTTTTTGCCAGGCCCTGACTCAGTTCTTGGGTTGGTCCGTGCTGGTTTGCGACACCTATGACCGGCTGAACCGTATGGAGTGGAGGAAGGACATCGCCCAGGATATGCTGTTGTACCAGACCAAATGCACCTCAGCTGAGATGCAGTCCATCCTGGTCAGTTTCCACATTTCCTCTCCAGAAACGTACCTTTGATCTCTCAGCATTTGATCAAGAGGCCACTCGAGCAGGGATTAACAGTAGTCAAAGGTTAATGCTCCCTGAATAGCCTTTAGTTCAGCAGTCTTCCAATAGAATTATTCCAATTAAAGGGCTAAGAACATGTCTAGTGGAGACGATTGCTTTGAGTTCTTGTCGGAATAACATGATGGTTTTAGCTTTTTGTCTACAAATGATGCTGTGAATGTCTGTAGGTGATGGCAGCACATTCATAAATACAATGTAAGCCATACTAATGTGCTGATCTCTCTTTTCTAACCAGAACACCAATGAGAAGTTTGACGCAGAGCCCGAAGACCTCGACCAGAAAGAGATGTACAAACTGTTGGTATGTGTTTACTTTGCTAACCTTCAGGACAAATACTTTCAATGACATGAAAAAACGGTGTCACAAAAGATTATTACTTTACACCTATCAAAGCACACATGCATGAATAGGTTTGAAAACGTGTATACGCGCAGACTTCATTAAATATCAGCATTTTAATGGATTTGGGAGTATTCTTTTCTTGAAAGGGGAATATGCATGCGAGCGTTGAATGACTAATGGATGTCTTCTAAGTGAAATCTGTTGTTGTTTTTCTTCAGAGAGCAAACTGCCCGCCAGCTGACAATGTCACCGGAGAGAACCTGTACCTGTTCTCCTTCAGTGACCTCAACGTCTCCGAGACCGACCTCATCAGAGCCGGCATTCGCATGTTCTTTGAGCTCGGAGTTGTGGAAAAGTTTAAAGTTCCTGCAGAGGTGAGTGCATTAAGTTAGACACTAACTTTGATGTCCCTTAGTAGCTGGAGAATGTCCCTTTTTTCTGCTAATACTGCTACACTCATAGCAGGCTTGGATTTCAATATTATGTATTTTACACACATATAAAACTTGATTATATTTCATTATGTTAAAGAAACAATATTATCCATGTTCATCATTTGGTGTGAAAGATAATCTGCCCTGGGATTACTCTGCAAGGAGATGCTATGTCCTGGCGATAGCTCATCTAAAAACCCTCACAAATGATCAACTTTTCCATTCTTTGCTTCACTCCCCTTGTTCTCTGAATCCCACCCACTCTCTCTCCCACTCTCCTACTCAGACACTGACGAAATGGATGTACACGGTGAGGAAGGGGTACCGTTCCATCACCTACCACAACTGGAGGCACGGCTTCAACGTGGGCCACACCATGTTCTGCCTGCTGCAGGTAACGCCTCCAAAACATCTGCTGCATCTGAAGCAAACCCTAGCCCCAAAAAATGTCTCATATTTCTCCATTTCACATCTGTATTCTACGCTATAAACTTTGGCACTACAGCTCACTGCACACTATTTTACAAAACACAGGCTGCTATGTTTTACAAGAATGTGTATATAGGCTCATAATATGTTTTATATGTATGTATAGGTACCAATGTGTTTCTAGATTTGAATGGTCTAAAACAAACATATCAAATAAGATGTGATAATTGAGAAATGGTGTTTTCATCTTGTTCTGGATACATAATCAATTTAATTGGAGGGCACAATCTGTAACATCTGCACATTATAATCCATGATTCGTCTCCTTTGCCTACAGACAGGGAAGCTGAGGAAGTACTACTCTGATCTAGATGCCTTCGCCATGGTGGCTGCTGCTTTCTGCCACGATATCGACCACAGAGGGACCAACAACCTCTACCAGACAAAGCAAGTCAAAAAAGTGTATTTTGTGTGTAGAAAGTGCTTGCATGTGTGTGTAACCTGTGTGTAAATATATGTTTTTCTTTCTTCTGCAGGAGTCAACATCCTCTGGCTAAACTTCATGGCTCCTCCATCATGGAGAGGCACCATTTGGAGTACAGCAAGACGCTCATGGGTGATGAAGTATGACACATTTTTGACAATAAATATAATCAGACTTCAATGCAAGAAGTGGGACACATTTTGACCACTTTTACTGTCTGTTGCAGACCCTGAACATATTCTGCAACCTCCAGAAGCGTCAGTTTGAGAACGTGCAGCACTTGTTTGACGTCTGCATCATCGCCACTGATCTGGCCCTTTACTTCAAGTAAGTTCTCGTAAATACTCCCCATGCTAGAGCCGCAGAATGGCCGATTACAGCTGACGCCATCAATGTTTGTCTGTACACCTCTGTTGTTTTCTTTTGACTGACTCATTTTACGCGACCAGTTTGTGTATTTATTCAGTTCAGTTGGTCTGACTAACACTCTGCTATCTCGTCACGCAGAAAGAGAACCATGTTCCAAAACATTGTGAATGCCACAGAGCCAATGCCAGACGAAAAGGAGGCCATTAACTATATTTCCAACAATCCCACCAGGAAGGAAATCATAATGTATGTAACTGATTCCACTGTGTTTGTGAAAAGATCTCTGAAACCCTTGCATGACCTAGGGGTTCATGTTGTTCTCCCTGACTGACTTCTCTCTCTCACCTCCAGGGCCATGATGATGACAGGCTGTGACTTGTCAGCTATCTGCAAACCCTGGGAGGTACAGAGCAAGGTGGGTGGCCTTCACTTTAGCAGTTTAGAAAGTGTATAGTGAGGTTTGTTCAGCTAGGACAAACCTATTGAGTTCCACACATCACATTATTTTAATATTCCACCTGTCCTCAATCTTTTATCAGGTTATTCAGCATAAACACCTGTATTTCATCCAAAAAATATACTAAAGGGTATTTTCTTTTTGAAATAGGAGAGCTAAAAGCCATGACAACAGAAACAAACCGGGTTTATAGGACACTTATGTGACAGTTTGTTTTTCCTTTGATATCAAATGTTAGAAACTGTTAAAAAAATAGCGGGAAGTGACATTCTTTCTGCTGATCCACAATGATTTCCTCTGTATCATTATTTCTTCCTCTTGTGTGTCTCTCTTCAGGTGGCCCTGATGGTCGCTGCTGAATTCTGGGAACAGGGAGATTTGGAGAGAAGTGTTTTGGACCAACAGCCAATTGTAAGGGTCACACCGCTCTTGTGCCTCCTCTACCTTTCACATATTTTCTTTTTCAGGGTAATTTGTAAACCTGAAACTCTTCCCTCTGTCTCTCTCAGCCCATGATGGACAGAAACTGTTCTGAACAGCTAGGCAAGATGCAGTGCGGTTTCATCGACTTCGTGTGCTCCTTTGTGTACAAGGTAATAATCAGCTTTTGTGGAAACATTAGAAGTATGATTATTATAAACATTGAAGGGGAGGTGATGTCGGATGTCAAAGCGTGACATATGCCAGACATGGATCTAGCAAAAGGGAGTCTGGCCTGTGTTATGTGTAACTGTTAGAATTGTAACACAGCCACAGTCTAAAGGGGTGTAACAATTTAATCCAGCTTTTATTTGGTTTTGATTCCCAGCAAAGCACCATAAAAAAACATATTCTACCCATGAGTTGTTGATTTAGTTCACTATAATCGATTTTGATACTTTCAAAGAGCTTCACAAAAGCTGTAAAAGTAACTAAACTCATTTATCAAACTTACTCTGAGGCCCTAGTTTAAAGTGTAACTTGTATTTTCAAGGCAATGTCATGTATTTTTTAAGCGTACCTCCAACTGTGTGATAAATAATATTGTGTAAAGCCTGCTGTGTATGGTAAATCTTTGATAAGACTGTGTCAGAAAGGTGTAGCTCCGAGTCAATAGTGCATTTTGTATGCGGGATCACTACGCAGCATGTAGTCTTGATTTAAGGGTGTTAGGTTGAACAACATGATGTATATAGATGAACCTGTTGAACCCAGCTGGCCCCCAGAGGAATGTCTACTAGCTGTTTTTCAGTCTGTCAGTATGGTATTTGGACAAGAACACACACATCCATAAAGAAAATGTGTCAGTGGATCATGCGGACTCCTTGTCTAAGAGGCATATCATGAATTTGGAACACCGACATTTTCCTTCCTGTAAGCTCTCCTACCTCGGCGCATCCCACAATGTGAATAACAGATACCCTACATCCCTTTTTCTTTTATTTATCAGGAGTTCTCCAGGTTCCACAAAGAGATCACGCCCATGTTTGACGGTCTGAAAAACAACAGGTGCGAATGGAACAAGCATGCCGAGATATACACCGCGAAGATGAAGATCATCGAGGATGAGAAGAAGAAACTGGAAGATGATGAGAACAAAAAAGGTATGGAGAAAAACAAAACAATCTATACTGGTCCTGATCCAAGTCTTCACAATCACCCTGTATAAACACATTCTTTATTTCTGTGTGTTTATCCAGGTGGTGGCGACGGGAAGTCAAAGACCTGCACCATCTGCTAAATTCCTCCAGTGCTTGGATCTGGACTGATGCGATCTGTTTAGAATTCATCTCGGCTACGCTAGCCTATTCTGATCCGACAGCTAGTGTAGTTGGGGCTTGACTAGGCCAGTTTGGTCTGGTCTGATCTACTGCAGCGTAGTTCTCTCAGGTTAGGTGCTCTCCGCTCTGCTGCAGGCCAGTTCAGCCCTGTTTGCATCTGGTCTGGTTCAGTCTAGCCTATATTTAGTCTAGTGTATTCAGGTCTGGTATGTGGTCCAGTCCGCAGTCAGCCTATCTATTCTCCGAGGAGCGAAGAGTCAGAAAACAACACCATGAAGTAACGTTTTGGACTCTGACCACAAGAGAAGCTTGTTTTACCCGGAAATTGCGATGCGTTTGAAACTTCCTCCTTAGTCCGCTTCCTCCAACACACAGCCATGAACTTTTGAAAAATATATACATGGACAACATATATTTCCCTTTATCATAGCAATAATCAAAGCATTTCCAATATATAATTGGAAAACCTGGTTTGATAAGCTCAGAAACTAGCAATAGCAAAAGCAATAGTATTTACAGTGTTCCTATTGGCGGTCAGTTACCACACAGTATAGTAGTACTGTAGGTTGCACACTGCACTTAGCTGCTGCTGTTTTGGCAGCGGCAGGCCATGAGTGTGCGGAGGAATTGGGCTAAAAATCTGTTTTGGGTTACCAGTTAGAGTAGCCTGAGTCCTGAAGGATCTGTTAATGGTGTAAAACAGTCCTTTGTAGCTTTGATACAGCGAGTGAAAACATGCAATCATAAAGGGCTGATGTTCTTTTACCTCAAAAGGCGCTGAAGAGTTGTGAGGCTACATTTATGTTAATATGCAATCTATTTATCTATATACATATATATTTTTTGGATTCTTTGTCTGACAATTTTGTACTTAAACTGTCTTCACGGAGAGAGAGGATGAGACAAGCTTTGAGAGAGGGCGTTCTGAATCTGTGAACAACTGCACGCTGAAAACACAATCGAAAATGTTTTGAATTTGTGCAACTTTATCGTAAACACCCGTAAGCTGTTATGCCCGATGACTTGGTAAAATAACTTTAAAAAAAAAGCTAATGTGAATACTATTTATACCAGTGTTTAGAACTAAATTACAATTCCTTATCGATTCAAAAACGTCTTTTAAACTTGATTTCACATGTATATAGTTTAGAAATTGTAAAATGTAAATTGTGTAAACTTAAGAATAACTGAAGTGAAAACCTGATTTGAAAGATGTACAGTAAAGGCGACCTTTTCTTCTTCTTCTAAGGAGGTAATAGTCGCAGTCAGTCAAACAGGCTAGAGTGGATCTACCTGTCTTGTAAGAAGATTGGATAGGATTTGATTGTCGGCCAGCGTTTGAGATCCACACAGCTTTAGACTTTAAATACCCTTCTTACTGAGGAGGCATAGCGGGCTACCAAAGCCTTGTATGTATCTGCAGACAACTTGAGTTTAAAACGTGACAGATGAAGCTATAGCATCATTGATTGTAACGTGGTACAGGCCAAAGTCCTCTGATAATTTCCTCACTGATGCAACAGTGTGACAAATCACACAACAACCACTAGGTCAGTGTTAATCTTAATTTATACCTGCATTTGACCCTGATCTAGCCAGGCATCTGAGTCGACAGTGCACCCCCTGACACACTTTTAGCAATGGCTAAAGGCAAGCCGTGGCTCTCAACTTGCTGTTACACAATGTCATCTTCTGTAATGAACAGGTCATCAATCAAAGGCACTTAATCCTATCAGAATGGCTTTGAGACTGGCTGGAAACTATTTTTCTGCTGCTTGAGGGGAAGTGAGGGGCTTGTGCGGTCACTGGAGCCAGAACTGTGGAATGAACATTAACAGAAAGTGATATGTTAAACATTATAACCATTATTTTACCTCATTGTTCCTGCTGCACACATTTTCTATCAATGGTTACACCACGGGTTCTGTCTCCAGTGAGAAAAAATGGCACCTCGCTTTTCCTTCAAGGATCTTTTGTGAGATATCACACGGTATACTTATCCCATCAACTGTCTTTCACACCTTAGAAATCTTATAATTTGACATATGAGATGACCTCTACTGTATGTATGTGTCAAGAGATGTAATATGTGTAAGCAAATAAAGGAATTTATGGAAGCTTAACAGAGGAAATCACTTATTGTCAACGTAAAAACGTTCCTATTAACACTAAAAGTGGGTTAGATTGGAGAATGAACTTGAGAAACCTTGAGCTTAGCTCCTCCAGTGCTGGTTCTTAGTAATATATCGTGCAGGGATCTTAGAGGCTCCAAAGCTGGATGAGCCTCTGGGGAAAGAGGATCAGTGGATTGGTTCTGATCCCTGCTCGATACAGTGTTGTCTGACTGTTCAACATCCTGCCGTATGCACATTCTGCATGCAGAAAAGTGGACATTGCATGGTGGTGTTGTCATTATTTTTGACAAGTATACAGTTGTTTAGAAGATACACTTCACCCTAGGGAGGAGAAGACGAAGAGCACCAATGCTGCAGTAATGCACTCCAGTTAGAAGGTAGTATGAGTGCAGGATGCTGCTGAGGCGTCTGCTGACTAGATGGAACATTTGACACAGGAACACAGTACAAACACTGTAATTTATCATCACGTAGAGCACTTCAGCTTGTCCACCCTCTGCATCAACATGACCTTAGATTCCCCGGACAATTTACGGGTCAGTGGGTGCAGAGCTGTCCCCATCTGTAATTTGCTCTTCTCTTCATAAGGACTGCTTCTGAAGAGAAGAGCAATTTAAAGCATATTCCTTAAATTCTGGATTATTAATGATGGAGAAAGAGTAGAGGACATTTTAACTAATTTAATTTGTTTTTCTTTTAACCATATAAACCATATTTTTTACGGTGAATATTTGTATATGTTTTTAAACGTGGAATGAGGTCGAGCTTGTCATATTTAAATGTTTTAAATTCCCCTGACGACAAAAAGGCCGTAAATGTGTTCCCATGTGAAGGCAAGAATCTTTAACCAAGAAAAACAGAATGTTGACAACTCAATTGATCAACTGTAAATGCATCCAGGTGCACAAGTATAGCCAGGGGCCAAATTATATCCCACAGCCACTCAAACACAACATGCTGTTATTACTCAATGTACCATTTACTATACTTAACCATCTGTTGCCTGAACACTGCCATGAATCACAGAGTAAATGGCTTCTCCTGAGAAAGCAGAGAAGTTTAAACGAGGCAGACAGAGCGGTAAGAGGTAACATAATTGTCTTTATTTAAGCCAAACTCTATAATCTCCCGGCAACCTCACGCAGTTTCCTTTTATGTTAGTTGAGGTCGAGGCAGCACTTAAATCTGCCCTTGGACAGAGGGACATCTCAAGCTAATCCAACAGAGAGCTGGACCAAAGAGCACAACTCTGGAGAAAGTACCAAACCTATAGTGCAGATTCAATTCATACGAGATAACCAGGTTTAGTTATTTTAACATGTTAAACAAGTCTACAGCCCTCTTTCTTGGAGGCGGTCCTAGACAACCTCAGCAGCCAATCAGCGGACATGGTCATGTCAACAGCTGATTGAAATCACCTGGGCACTAAGCCTATAAAAGATGGTCTATTTGTCCAATCTGTTTCTTCCTCCCTACAGCTTGCACCCTGCATTATGTTTTTTAGTTTACGCCTACATGCTCTGTTTCAGTGGCTGACCTTCACACTCCATTGTTGAGTGGTGTTAATAAACCTGTTAAGTATAATCTTAAAGTATAATCTTGCATGGTTTTCCTTCTTGTTACGTTTCCTGAGCTGTGTTGTGAAAAATGGTTCTGTGAGGCTGTACTTAGACACGTTTAGCTTTGAGCTAAATGCTAACCTTGGCATGCTAATGTGCTCACAATGAGAATGCTAACATGCTCATGCTAAAATGCTCATGCTAAACTGCTAAGTTTGCAATGTTTCCATCAGCATGCCAATTAGGAGCCCATTATTAGCCAAGTAGTATCAGGGCAACATCCCAGGTTTGCCCTTGAGATCTGTGCTACATGTCACTGCTCCCTCTCTCTGTTCCCAGCATTTCAAACCCATTCTGTCAACTTACAAATAAAGGTGAAAAATGGCATGGCTTTGAAAAAGAATCTATAAAAGAAATTGCCAATTATTATGTAACACATTAGTCTGATAAGAAAGTCAAATGCCTTTTTCACAGAGGCCATTTTGACATTAACAACAGGGAAAGCACAGGTGTAAATAATTCAAACTAATGATGGCTGATTTTAATTAAGCTGCTTTGGTTTCAGGTGCTGTGCGCCCTGGCTCAATGTCACAGCTGACTGGGGCATCATTAAGGCTTTTAGAAACACCTGCCTCCTTTATGTGCTGTTCCTACAATGACAAGACAAAATGTCTGCTGTGTAAGGCCTGGTGTCTTTAGTTTTAGGCAAATTGAACATTTTGACTTGATGTTGTCTCTGGATTCAAGTAATTTGAAAATCCGTCAACTTCCTCTTTCCTCAAAAACAAAGAAGAGTTTATTCTCAATTATAAAACGGACAAGTAAAATCAAGCAATCTGATTGGTTCTTAGCCGTGGTATACTGAGCGTATACCACGGGTAGAATTGTAAGTTACTTTTCACAACAACTCAGTATCCCTCCGCGTCTGAGATAAACAGTATACAGTTGGGCTGAAAAGCAAGCAGTTTGCTTTTCAAACTGGAACAAGAAAGCAGCGGAGAAGTAACGGGGCAGAAACCCTCCTTTTTACGCAACTGTCCAGACATAGACATCAAACGGCAAAAACATATTCAGTGTGCAGTTCCTTTGGCATTAGGGCAGGGATATTTAGATACTTTCCAAGGTTTGACATAATGAATTGTGCTACTTTTAAAGCAAGCAACGATGTTTTCAAATCTGTAATCAAAAAGGTCCGCAAAAACATTTAAGATTAACTTCGACCTCCGGGGGGGGGGGGGGGGGGGGGTCTTACTATGGAGGAGTGCCTATCTCCAGAACAAAAAGCACCTAAACGACGACATGTAGAGCTACGTGAAGAGCAGGTAGACCAACTGGAAAAGTACCACCATTCAAAAGTTTTCTGATGCGGGTCTTGAAACAAAGCAGAGAAATGATGACCGTTAGTGGCCACAGGTGCGAAAGCTCTCTCCAGAGCTACTGGAAGCCGAATCTCGGGGACCGGAGAAAGTGGAGCAATATTCTCGCCACGCCAAGCAACAGCCTAGAACAACCTCAGCCTATACAAGTAACCACGTAAGCCATGCTACTGATGCTGGACAGTTTTTCAGTGGGTGCAAAATAAACGGCAACATACACATTAATGTAAATAAATAGCCAAATAATGGATCAACGCTCTCTGTCTAATATGTTCGCTAGCTGTTGTTAGTGTTGTTGCATAGCAACCACCTCGCACTATGTTTCGTGCAGAAGGCAACAGAGGGACTATTTTATTTTGAACATCATTATTTACTAATAAAAACTATTTAAATTAGAGTGTGAATTTTTCTTTCATATTGCCACACTTGGTAACCGTTTTATAAAAGCAATAGCTCACTTCAGGCCGTGATATATGCTCATTATATCACAGCTAAGGGGGTTGTCGACCCTCCGCTTCGCGTCGGGCCGAACCACGCCCCTTAGCTGTGATATAATGAGCATATACCACGGCCTGTCGTGAGCTATTGCTTAATTATCCCTCCTTACAATCTAGATGGCAGCTAAGATAATGAACAGAAGTTTATTTATCTTGTGTCAACAAGAGTCTAACTTGTGTCAGACTTATCTGGAGATGCAACAAGTCAAAATGGGACCTTAACATTTTAAATTTCATGGCAATCCAGCCGAAGATACTGTATTGCCCTCCTGAGAGCCATGCTGCTACCATGACAACAAATATTTTTAATAATTGTGTTCCGCCTCGCTAATGGTGGATTTAAAACCAAGACATGACATACATTGGGGGGAAAAACACTGACTTGTGGAGGGTAAACATCATGTTTATTTCTGCAAGAGTACTGAAACATATCATCAAATAAATCTACACGCACACAAGACTCCAAACAGAACATGCTTAATATCAGTGGCACGCTGAAGGAAGTGAAGTCACAGCAGGGTCAAAGAAACATGTCTTCAAAGTACTCATCAAATTCCTCCTCCCTAGAAAGATTAAAAAAATGAAATCAGAGAAATGTTGGTGCCTTTCATGTACGCCACTGACACAGACTGTTAAATGCGTTTGTATGAAGGGGCTCCTGACTAACTGGGTATCTTAGCAATTCATTCACATGTTATCAAGCTCTAGGCAATGAAATGTTATAAATAAAACTATCATTGGTGCAGAATCCAAACAAATACAAATAGTGTTTAAGGGCAAAGAAAAGGGCCATGTCAACATATCAAACTTTAAAAAGGCCCTCATTTACAAACTGTTGTTACTTAATGTAACAAAAGTATGAATGTGATCATTATTTTTACATCCATGCCTTATGTTCTCCATGATGGTATTGTTTCTATGAGTTTCATTCCTATAGTACATATGCTTGAATAAACCTTTTCTGACCACATTGCTAATGTCAGGAGGGGTGTAACAGGAACCAGTAAAAGGTTTAGCGACTTCCTCACAGTTGGGAACAGCTTTGTGTGGGGTATCTAAATGGTCTACATACTGTGCTATATAGAGATCAGTAACGTATGTAGGCTAAGTGGTAAAGACTGTCTGTGATGGTTTTACTGCAGCTTACTGGGGGAGTCTTAATATGAACAATCGGTTTAACCTCACCTTGACTTCTCCTCCACCGCAGGAGCGGGTCCTTTCCAGTGGTCGGCTTCTGATTGGCCCTCTGGCACATCCCCTGCTTCAGAGTCTGCAAGGTGAGATTCAGAGAGCTGTCAGTCAGAAATAAGGTCGAGCGATAACCCCTTGTTCATCAGTTTAAATGTCAGGATCCTCACTGTTAGCCTCTCACAACAGGAATCCATCTGATTGGCTCAGTTTACATCCATGTCTGTCCAAAGTGACATGACTGGTATTTGTATTCTATTGGACACTGATGCATCATTATTAGCATATGAATGATTAATAAATGGGCAGTGACCTTGACACCCTAAATCTAACCAGTTCATCCTTAAAAACAAGTGGACGTT